GGGGTTTTACCCTCCGTTTGTCACAGATGTACCATTTTGTGATTTTTCGTGATATTAATCAAATTTAACGGAGAGTAAATTTGTCACAAATATATCAATTTGAGATTTTTTTTATGATCAAAAAATTAGTTTAGGATAAATTCGCTACAGCTATATCAGTTTTGAATTTTTCGTCATATTAACCTTTTTCTTTTTTTAATCATCCTGCTGTTCAAAAAGCTACCAAGTACAAAACAACGGTTAAGGTCATAGGAGCACCCGTGGGTTTACAGGGAGGGAAGGAAGGAAGGAGGGAGGAAATCCGCGTACTCCGCGCGTAGCATGCACCACGTCGCTGGGCGCGTGGGCCTCGAGGGTCTCCATCCAAAACGAAGGCATCCATCCATCCATCCTCCCACGAGGAAAACCTATCTTGTCGGCGTCGGATCAAGAAGGCACGGAAGGAATCCACTCTTCACTTGGTGCTTCGTCTGAGGGGAGGAATGCAAATCTTTGTGAAGACCCTCACTGGCAAGACCATAACCCTTGAGGTCGAAAGTTCGGACACTATCGATAATGTAAAGGCGAAAATCCAGGACAAGGAGGGAATCCCCCAGACCAGCAGAGGTTGATTTATGCCGGCAAGCAACTCGAGGATGGCAGGACTCTGGCAGACTACAACATCCAAAAGGAACCCACTCTTCACTTGGTGCTTCGGCTGAGGGGAGGAATGCAAATCTTTATCAAGACCCTGACTGGCAAGACCATAACCCTTGAGGTCGAAAGTTCGGACACTATCGATAATGTGAAGGCGAAAATCCAGGACAAGGAGGGAATCCCCCAGACCAGCAGAGGTTGATTTTCGCCGGCAAGCAACTCGAGGATGGCAGGACTCTGGCAGACTACAACATCCAAAAGGAGTCCACTCTTCACTTGGTGCTTCGCTTGAGGGGAGGAATGCAAATCTTTGTCAAGACCCTGATTGGGAAGACCATCACTTTGGAAGTTGAGAGCTCCGACACCATTGACAATGTCAAGGCGAAAATTCAGGACAAGGAAGGCATTCCCCCAGATCAGCAAAGGCTTATCTTTACCGGGAAACAACTTGAGGATGGAAGGACTTTGGCGGATTATAACATTCAGAAGGAGTCCACTCTTCACTTGGTGCTGTGGTTGAGGGGGGCATGCAGATTTTTGTCAAGACCCTGACTGGGAAGACCATAACTTTGGAAGTCGAGAGCTTGGATACCATTGATAATGTCAAAGCTACGATACAGGACAAGGAAGGCATTCCCCCAGATCAGCAGAGGTTGATTTTCACGGGGAAGCAACTTGAGGATGGCCGGACACTGGCGGATTACAACATTCCGAAGGAGTCAACTCTACATCTTGTGCTTCGCCTCCGCCGTGGAATGCAGATCTTTGTCAAGACTCTGACCGGAAAGACCATCACTCTGGAGGTGGAGAGTTCGGACACCATTGACAATGTGAAGGCAAAGATCCAGGACAAGGAGGGCATCCCACCAGACCAGCAGAGGCTGATTTTTTCCGGGAAGCAACTGGAAGACGGAAGGACACTGGCCGGTTATAACATCCAGAAAGAGTCGACTCTGCACTTGGTCCTTCGTCTGCGTGGTGGCTTTTAAGTCTCATGCGGAAAGGTTTCATCAAGTCAAGTTGGTGTGTTTCTCTTGTTTGGTCAGTTCTAATGTTTGGCTTCATGTTAGGGTAAATAATGTCTGCTGATGGATGGAATTGGTATGGATAACGTGTGACTTCTTTAGTTTTATTGTCAGTTTGATGGATATGAGTTGATGCCTTCAGTGTTTTTCCTATTGCATGACAGTATTCTCTCATTTAAGGTTCTGGCTTTTGAGCCATATATTCCGGTGGTTAGTTTCTCTATTGCATACATATATGTATGAATGTGGCTAAGTAATTGCTAGCATACAGCGAAGCAAAGCTTCGAAAACCCTACTGAATGAATGAATTTCAGTTGCTGGGAGGGAAAAGTAATATAAATTAGGCTGCATTATCTCTAAGGCGGTAGATGAAATATTAGCATAATACAGGAAGGAAATATGTGATGCATCTCTTCAATTACTAGGTTTACTGGAAGATGCTTTATTTTTTCTCGAGCGCAGCTTATCTTTCACGCTGGACTTTAATCAAGATTAGCTTGATCTTGTGCTCCTTGTTAAAGATAATTGCTGAGTTAAACTTCTTGACTAGGTAATAGTAGCAAGTGATGTCGGTTGAAGGATAAATCTCTAGGCTACGAATCAATTCATTCTCAATGTCTTTAGGTGTTTTACGAGCGAAAGGGTGGGAAGCGGACCTTTAGATAAGGGTCTCCAATCTTCATCCTCTAGTTTTAGCTATCGCATCTAAGTATCGATTTTCCTTATCGCCAATCAAAAAAGTAAAAGTGGAACCAATATGATCTAAATGATGAACTTTGCCAAGTCCCGTTTGATGCTAAAGTAGGAAAAGAACATATGATGTTGAATGTACCTATTCTATCTGCAGTTCAACCTCTTTGATAAACTGAAAATGGATCATTTTCTTGATGTTAGGAGACTTATTTTGGGCTGATTAACATTCCATTATTGAGGGCTGATTAACTTTCCATTACCACTAATTATATCAACCGATCTGGATCTAGAGTCATCGTCTATTGATATAACGGATGATCTATTATCATATTGGTAGACTGAACAAGAACTAAGCACTAGCACTATAGGAGTGATCCATACTTCTGTATCGTTGAGCGTGTCCTATTAAGTCCAGCCGGCATGCAAATCTCAAAGCTGTATCTCCATAAGGAGAGCCGGAGCTGCCTGTACGGCGAATGCCAATCACAGACTATTTGAGCCTATTGCGCTGCTTGGCACATGGCTTATATACAATAAAGATTTTATTACGACAGCAAACTCTCAGTCATAATAACACACTAAAGTTTGAATGTACATCCCATATACGAGAACCTTCGTAGATCAAGCTCAAACACATCACTCACAGAAAAAGCAGATCAAGCTCAGACACATCACTCACAGAAAAAGGAGCAAACTGCTTCAAGCGAGTCATAGAAAACAGATCGACTAGTAACTTTTAGGCTTTATAACATACTTCACCATCACAGACCCATCCTTCTCCGGCTTCTCCTTCTTTTGCCTCCTCCCCAGTTGCTTCATCACCTTAGTCTTCTTCTTCTTCATCCGGCTCGTTCTTAGTCGACTTTTCCTCCAACTTCTTGATATGTTCAGCGGTAAAAGGATAAGCATCAGCCCCGTGGTCCAATATAAGATCCCTTGCTTCTTTAGTCAGCGTTCGGCCCGTTGGGCCGATGGCTATGAGTGTGGGGGTTCCAGCGACCTTGAATTTGTGATTTAGGGATTTCTTCCTCTCATCGCCAAAGGGGAGCGCCAGCCACGGCATCTGAGCAAAATAATCGTCAAAGGCAATTTGGTCCTTGTCGCTGGAAATGAAGATCAACTCAAAGGCCTCGTCTTTGGCCTTGATCTTTTCGTATGCCTCCGTTAGCACTGGCAGGAATGCGCAGCAAGGAGGGCACCGATGTGTCGAGAAGTAAAGGAGGACAGTCTTCCCTACAAAGTCTGATACTGGAATCTGCAATCCAAGTTAAGAAACAACTTCATGAACCACCAATCGATGGAAAAAGCACGTGAAACAGCATATATCAAAAACGATTTTCCTAGTTGTAGACCTGGTTTCAATCCTTTCGTCACCTCAAGTAACCCGAGGGATAACGAAATTTAGGGCTATAAAAATTTCCAAGTCACTAGTTTCTAGGAGGAAAAACAAATTTACCTTGGTTCCTTCCTTTCCAAGGACGAAATCTCGATCCCCTGAAACCAAGATTGACTCCAAGGTCTGAGATTCTTCCCTTTTCTTCTATATCTCTGCAAGCTCTGCAAACTTTTCTGGAGTGAATGGGTAAGCTGCAACGCCGTGCTCCTCGACGGTTTCAGCAACGTCGGATTGGAGAGTCTTCCCATCAGGACCGATAATGACCAGAGTGGGTAGGGTCGAGAGCTCAAAGTACCTAATCAACATCTCGCATTTTTTGTCTTTAAATGGTAATGAAAGCCATGGCAAGCTTCCAAAGGCTTGGTTGAATGATTCTTCATCATCATCCAGAGAGGTATCTGAACGATCTCAAAACTCTCTCCTTTGACCTTCAACTTCTCATGAACCTCCACTAACATTGGCGTGAAATCGACATATGATTTGTACATGGACAATGAGAAATACAGACCCACGGTTTTTCCTTCAAGCTCAGTAACAGGAACCTAGTTTGGCCACATAGACTAGATTAGTAAAAGGAGGACGGAAAACCGAATCATAAGCACACACGACCATCTGTTACAACTGCATCAAAGATCTTTTTTGCTTACCTTCTTCCCATCGGATGAAACTACGAAGTCACGAGATTCACGGACCAAAAGAGAGGTCAATGATTGATTTCTCTTAGCAGCTTCTTCCTGCTCTTTCAACTCTTTGATGCGTTCTAGAGTGAAAGGGTGACCTCCCACTCCATACTCGCGGACAATCTCCACCCCCCTATCTGTTGAGACTGTACTGGTGCCGTCCAGAATCACAAGGTGGGGTATGCCCCTCACCTCAAACAATTCATCCAAGCTATCGCGCTTCTCCGAGTCGGAATACGAGATCGCAAGCCACGGCATCTTGGAAAAGTATCCACTGAAGGCCTCTTCATCCTCATTTGCAGAGATGAAAATGATCTCCAGATCACCTTTTGGGGAAAGTTCATTGTACACCTCCACCAGAGTCGGGGTGAACCGCTGGCACGGACCGCACCACGTGCGGGGGGAAAGCATTTTGATGCACTTGGTCGCGATCGTTTAACTCAACGCATGCACGTCGCATGCACGTAGTCGTGTGCCTCAGGAATAGAGTTTGCTTTTCTTTTTACCCATCGAAGAAACCCTTCTCTCCATGGTATCGCAAGAATGGAAGCTAGCCTTGAGCCACTTACCTCAAGAGTCCAGTCCATCAATGATTCCCTCAATATCACTAAAGAAACAGTTCTGTAAATGACCAAAAGGCAGGGCGATTGTAGGAATGCCTAAACTACAATCTATCCGCAGCTGTCTTCCTCTTAAACCTGGTATCTGAACGATCTCAAAACTCTCTCTTTTGACCTTCAACTTCTCATGAACCTCCACTAACATTGGCGTGAAATCGACGCATGATTTGTACATGGACAATGAGAAATACAGACCCACGGTTTGTCCTTCAAGCTCAGTAACAGGAACCTAGTTTGTCCACATAGACTAGATTAGTAAAAGGAGGACGGAAAACCGAATCATAAGCACACACGACCATCTGTTGCAACTGCATCAAAGATCTTTTTTGCTTACCTTCTTCCCATCGGATGAAACTACGAAGTCACGAGATTCACGGACCAAAAGAGAGGTCAATGATTGATTTCTCTTAGCAGCTTCTTCCTGCTCTTTTAACTCTTTGATGCGTTCTGGAGTGAAAGGGTGACCTCCCACTCCATACTCGCGGACAATCTCCACTCCCCTATCAGTTGAGACTGTACCGGTGCCGTCCAGAATCACAAGGTGGGGTATGCCCCTCACCTCAAACAATTCATCCAAGCTATCGCGCTTCTCCGAGTCGGAATACGGGATCGCAAGCCACGGCATCTTGGAAAAGTATCCACTGAAGGCCTCTTCATCCTCATTTGCAGAGATGAAAATGATCTCCAGATCACCTTTTCGGGAAAGTTCATTGTACACCTCCACCAGAGTAACCGCTGGCACGGACCGCACCACGTGCGGGGGGGGGGGGCATTTTGATGTACTTGGTCGCAATCGTTTAACTCAACGCATGCACGTCGTATGCACGTAGTCGTGTGCCTCAGGAATAGACTTTGCTTTTCTTTTTACCCATCGAAGAAGCCCTTCTCTCCATGGTATCGCAAGAATGGAAGCTAGCCTTGAGCCACTTACCTCAAGAGTCCAGTCCATCAATGATTCCCTCAATATCACTAAAGAAACAGTTCTGTAAATGACCAAAAGGCAGGGCGATTGTAGGAATGCCTAAACTACAATCTATCCGCAGCTGTCTTCCTCTTAAACCTGGTATCTGAACGATCTCAAAACTCTCTCCTTTGACCTTCAACTTCTCATGAACCTCCACTAACATTGGCGTGAAATCGACGCATGATTTGTACATGGACAATGAGAAATACAGACCCACGGTTTTTCCTTCAAGCTCAGTAACAGGAACCTAGTTTGTCCACATAGACTAGATTAGTAAAAGGAGGACGGAAAACCGAATCATAAGCACACACGACCATCTGTTGCAACTGCATCAAAGATCTTTTTTGCTTACCTTCTTCCCATCGGATGAAACTACGAAGTCACGAGATTCACGAACCAAAAGAGAGGTCAGTGATTGATTTCTCTTAGCAGCTTCTTCCTGCTCTTTTAACTCTTTGATGCGTTCTGGAGTGAAAGGGTGACCTCCCACTCCATACTCGCGGACAATCTCCACTCCCCTATCTGTTGAGAGTGTACCGGTGCCGTCCAGAATCACAAGGTGGGGTATGCCCCTCACCTCAAACAATTCATCCAAGCTATCGCGCTTCTCCGAGTCGGAATACGGGATCGCAAGCCACGGCATCTTGGAAAAGTATCCACTGAAGGCCTCTTCATCCTCATCTGCAGAGATGAAAATGATCTCCAGATCACCTGTGGCATCCCAGACACGCCACTTACTAATGCATTCTTAATCTTTTCACTTTTAGCACAAGCGGAAGACAAAACACAATCAAATTAAACATTTCTCGATCAATGGACACATCCACAACAAAATACCATATCTTCATTTCCCACTTTTTATTTATATACAAAAGGTGATTTGGATGACATCCTCTTCAAGCATGATAGAAAAATTTCATCTGGGAGGTCAAAATGGGGTCCTACTCCCCTAATGCAGCTACATCCACAACTCCACTTCTCTACTTGTCGCCACCACCTCCACCACTACTAACACTATCGTCGGTGACATGTTCGAAGATCTGTAAAAAATGTGTCAACGATAAACAGTGAACGAAAACTCAGCCAAGTAAACTCTATTACGCCATACTAAACGGATAATGACAGGCATTTCAATCGAGTCAAATAGGTAGACAGATGAACCAATTCACAACCAACCATAACATATAAGACTCCCTTTTTATTTGGGCGTAATTCACCCGATAAAATATTGTCAATAGACTAACATCCATTCACACGAATTCTCATTGCATACGTTATGCAATCACAAGAGTTTTACTTCGCATTGATTTAGTAACTCAAGCTACAACATCCTCCGGGGAACCCAGTTACCCCCCGGGCATCTCGCACCCATCACGGCATCGCGAGGACATCTGGGGAACCGTGTTACACCCCCAAGCAACCGAGGGAACCCAGTCACCCCCTCAGGCATCTCGCACCTACCACGGCATCGCAAGGACATCTGGGGAACCGTGTTACACCCCCAGGCATCCGAGGGAACCCAGTTACCCCCCTCAGGCATCTCGCACCTACCACGGCATCGCGAGGACATCTAGGAAACCATGTTACACCCCAGGCATCCGAGGGAACCCAGTTACCCCCTCAGAGCCTTAATAATGAGGTCATATTATATTCTTTGTCTAACTTGCATCGGGTTGCTTTACTACATTTTACTCTTTACTTGTTTTTTCATTCCTATATTTAATGAACTGATAGTGATTCTTTTATACTGTTTCTTTGAATTATGATTTTCCAATTTTAGTTGAATGGTTAGGTTACATTTTAGGACCATAATAAATACACAAATATTGCATGGGCACTGAGCGAACAAGAACTTTAGGACTCGTAATTGAATAATAAAACTACATGTGCGACTTAATTAACAAATAATCAAGTTTAGGTACCGAAAGAATACTCATTAGATAACTAGTGCAATCAAGTTTCTGACCCTATATCTCTTGTTACGTAAAAAGTAAGGTATCATCCCGTGCCTCACTTGGCCCCTACTTGGCCTCAATAGGCTAGTGGCGATTCCTTCATATAGAAGTTTTTTCTTTGGATTAATTTAGACTAACACAAAAATTCCAATGTCGTGCGAGGTAAGGACCTGGGAGAACCCAAGCCAATTAAGGACCGTTGGTTCCCAACTTGGCATTATCTCTAAACCCGTTGGTCCTCAACGCTTGGTCGGGACGGTCGCAACATATATGGACCCGTCTCTTTTCCATTTGTCACGGGAACCTAGAAGCACGCCTTCCTTGGAAGTTGCTTATTGGTTCAATCAAAGGCCATGTCTTTAACTATCAGCTTCCCTCCTCTATACATAGTCTAGATCAAGCGTCCGCCTAATAGGCGATGTAATTTTTGTTGGATATTTCGATAGTTTTGTAAAATTTAAAAGTAATAGTTTTGATAAAAATTATGATCGCAATAAAAGCCATCATTATTTTTTTTTAACGGTCATATAACGGCTCTTCAATGGTAATATAACGGCCTTTTTGCGTATGCTTTATTTCTTCATAAACCCTTCATTATTTTACAATGGCTATATAACGATTTCTCAACGGCTTTATTTCTAATCAATATAAAAATAAAACTTCAAAAGAGTCAATCTTGGAAGATACACCAAATTCCAAAAAAGAATATCCTTTTTGTCAAAATCCTTTCTTTCCTTTCTGGGTTATACACGTTACGTTGTTCCTGTTCCTCCTAATATTCAGTGTGGAATATAGAAGAAGGTCTGTTGTATCTTGGGAGAATAGCCGCCAGAGCCTGTCGCACCGAGTTTCGTAATCCGAGGGGCGGAATTATCCTTAAGGATGGTGCTTGCACACCTCAGACAATTCTTTCTTTTTCCCAAATTTTACAACAATCTTAAGGATAATACCTATGGATTCTCAAGTTGATGCCGCCGCCGCCGCTACTACAGCCGCCGCTGTTGATGCCTCTATCTCTGACACTCCAATTGCGCTGCCACCAGTACCACATATATCCTATGCTAAACCTTTTCCTGACATATCAAAGATTGAAGTTTTTAATGGCAACAACTTCAAAAGGTGGCAAGAAAGAGTTTTCTCCATCCTGGATGTGCACGGCGTGGCTTTTGCACTTACGGAGGCCGAACCAATTGATAAAAAGCTGCAAGAACAATGGATACATGCTAATAAGGTATGTAGGCCTACAATTATTAGTACCCTTTCTAATGAATTGTTTGATGTTTACTGTCCGTACAAGGAAGCAAAGCAAATATGGGACTCCATGAATGCAAAGAGCACTGCCGAAGATGTAGGCAGACAAAAATTCGTGATCGGAAACTATTATCGATGGGAAATGTCCGATGATAAGGAGATCAAGACACAGATCAATGAATATCACAAGCTAGTGGAGGACTTATTAAAGGCGGAGAACATCAACTTACAAGAAGAATTTGTTGCGGCGTTGCTGATTGAAAAGCTGCCTGGATCGTGGAACAACTACAAGCAACAACTCAAGCACAACGACAAGCAATTGTCACTTGTCGTTCTGGTCGTGCATATCATAATTGAGGAAACAACTCGCAAGGAAATTAAAGCTACCGAGGCTAAGGAGATTGCTACTAGGGCAAATTTGGTGCAAGGCAAACCTCAACATCGCCTAAACAATTACAATAATAAAAAACCTGATTACAAACCCAAAATTGCTCACCCCACCTTCAAAATGAAAGGCTCTTATTTTGTCTGTGGTAAACCAGGTCATCATGCAGTGCAGTGCAGAAAGAAGATAATGGGAAATGACAATCCTGCCAAACCAAAGGTTCACTTGGTTAAAGCAGATGACGACATAATTGCTGCGGTCATTTCCCAAGCCAATATTGTGGCCAATGTGAAAGAGTGGGTGGTAGACTCAGGTGCTACCAGTCATATTTGTGCAAACAAAAATGCCTTTTCCTCCTATGCGCCAGTAGGGGAAGGAGAAGAAATTATATATCTTAGTGATTCAAGAACAGCTCAAGTTCTTGGGAAAGGAAAAGTTCTTCTCAAGCTCACATCTGGCAAGACTTTGGCCCTAAATAATGTACTGCATGTCCCTAATATAAGGGCAAACCTGGTTTCAGTACCTCTTTTGGGAAAGGTTGGGGTGAAGGTGTCATTTGAATCTAACAAGATTGTCATGACAAAAAATAATGTCTTTGTGGGAAAGGGTTATTGTAATCAGGGACTTTTTGTTCTTAACGTTTCCAATGTTATCGATGAAAATGCTACTTCTTTTCGTTTACTTGGTTGAATCTATTGATTTATGGCATGGTAGATTTGGACATGTTAATATTTCTTATATTAAGAAAATGCAAAACAAGGTTTAATTTCTATGATTGAAAACCCATGTTTTAATAAATGTATAATATGTGCCGAAACAAAATTAACAAAAAAGCCTTGTATTTCTGTAAATAGAGAATCTGAATTGTTGAGTTTAATTCCTACCGATTTAGGAGATTTAAAACAAACTATGACCAGAGGAGGTAAGCAATATTACGTGACTTTTATTGATGATTATTCTAGATTTACTAAAGTTTATTTACTTGGGCATAAAGATGAAGCTTTTGATATGTTTCTTTTGTATAAAGCTAATGAAAAAATCAATTGAATAAAAAAGATAAAAAGAGTTAGATCAGATAAAGGTGGTGAATTTGTCTTGCTTAATGAATTTTATGAAAAGGAAGGAATAATTCATGAAACTAGACCTGCTTATTCCCTTGAATCAAATGGTGTAACTGAAAGGTAAAATAGGACATTAAAAGAAATTATGAATTCTATGCTTGTTAGTTCTAAAGCTCCTAATAATTTATGGGGTGAAGCAATACTGTCCGCATGTCACATGCAAAATAGAACACCTCATAAGAAAACTGGTAAAACACCGTATGAATTATGGAAGGGTTATTGTCCTAATTTAAAATATTTGAAAGTGTGGGGGTGCCTTGCTAAGGTCATGCTTCCTAGCTCTAAGAAAAGGAAAATAGGACCTAAGACATCCGATTGCATGTTTATTGGTTATGCTGAACATAGTGTTGCATATAGATTTCTTATATTAAAAAGTGATGTGCTTGATAACAATACAATCGTTGAGACAAAGAATGCAAAATTTTTTGAGCATATTTTTCCGTTAAGAATTGATACTATTTCTCACGCACCTCTTCATAAAAATGATCTCGAAAATTCAAATGATGAATTGAGGAGGAGTAAAAGAATAAGGAAAGAAACTTCTTTTGGAAATGATTTTTATGTTGAGGAAAACTCCTATTGATTTTGAAGATGACAAAACCTTCCATGTTATTGTAAATCTGATACTTATTCTGAACAATTTTATTCCAGGACTGTATATTCTGGAAGATAAGAAGAAAGTTATTCAGACTTTACAATCTGTCAAGTATAGTTATGAAGACCCACATAATCGAAGTTCTGAAATTCAAACTCAGAAGTTATTCAGATGCAAATGCAGAAGCAGAAGTTATTCAGATGCAGATGCAGAAATTCTTCATTCAGACGCAGAAATTCTTCAGATGCAGACGCAGAATTTCTTCAGACGCAGAATTCAGAACGTAACACAACAGCTAGTGATCTAGCATGGATTTCACAGAAGGAATGTTCTGATTGTCTCAATCTAAATCAAATTGATTGACAATCAAACATCACGACAGGAATACATTACAACGAACAAAGCTCTACTTATGGAAACCAAGATTCTGATTGTATGGGCGACCAGAATCAGCGGGATTCAGAATTTGTTATCCAACGGCTACTCAATCCTTTGTATACAAATCTGTCCAAAGTGAAGATTGGAAGATGATCCTCTGAATGCTGTCCAAACGGCTAGTTTTGGAAGTAGATGAGTATTTAAGGAGGTCAACGAGCAGCAGAAAAAATACATAATCAAGAATCAACAAGTCCAAAGTCTGAGCATACTCCAATCATTTCTCTTGTCGTTCTGAGCAAAACATTAAGATCTTGAGGGATACTTTGTAAGAGTGATTGTGTGAGATAGAGAGTCCTATCATACACAAGAGTGTTAACACTCAGAAGTTGTAATTCCTCTTGATTACATAGTGAAATCCAGCCGGTAGGCTGTAAGCGTGGGAGAGTGGACGTAGGCTTGCTATAAGCCGAACCACTATAAACTTGTGTGCAGATTCTCTATCCCTTATCTCTTACTTTACATTCTGCACATCAAGAACACCGTCTATATAATCTGTCTTGAATCTGAATTTTATTCAGACTCTTCTGTGATCTATTTTGTTTCCGCATAAATTATTAAAATTGTTTTAGATCACCTATTCACCCCCCTCTAGGTGATCCTTGCTAGCTACATCAATTGGTATCAGAGCAGGTTGCTCACTTATTGAAGTGTTTTACTTCTGAGCTAACGATCTTTATGGCTAGCTATGGTGCTCCAGGGCTCATTGAAGGACAGAGCAACAACAGACCACCATATTTCGATGGCAAGGAATATAGTGTCTGGAAGAATAAGATGAAGGCATTCATAAAGTCAATT